GCATGGCTTCAAACGAAGTCAAAGTTCAGCACTGCGCATCAGAAGAGAACTTAGCAGATATATTCACTAAAGGCCTACCAAGACCATTACATGAGTATTTATCTGCAGGTATTCTAGGAACTCGGAATTGAGGGGGAGTGTTGGGATAGCAATCCCAAGCGAGTACGAGAATGTACTCGAAGATACGATGCCAGTCAGCGGCAGCTGACTTGGATCGTGATCTGGACTTATTTAGTATCTCGTAGAAAGATCTCGAAGTAATACGAAATGTATTTAAGTAGAACATTTCTCTCTCGAGAGGCTAATTCTAGTTCTCTGTTACATTACTCTGCTCTCTACTTACAACAAGGTAGGAAGTACCTATCTGTTTCATGACTTGTGGGGCATAGACATTTGATTGGACTGGACTTGGAGGTGTCATTGAGAATTATGGTATAATGAAGGTTTTAGAATCCAATCTGTAGAGATAATCTCAGTCTCCTGTATGCCGTTGCATAACAGACTGAGGTGTGTGTACAAAATCTGCTCTACTTATATACTGTCCAAGTTCTAGTGGCACTAATAGCCACTGTCTGACTAAGGCGTAATAAAGACAATGGATGTCTTCAGTGCAACATTTACTTTGTTCATGTACTAACAGAAGGTATATATATATCCCGATGAGCTCCAGGCCCATTATGGTCAGGTGTTTCAGTTTGCATCGGGAGCGTGAAGAAATCGGTGATTATCCGAATGCGTTCCTCAGGTGGCGCGCGGGGGGATTCTGGAGAGAGGTGAGAGAAAACAGCGGCCTCCGATATAAAGAACTTCTAGACCTGGAAGGGCTCGGTGTCGGAGCACGTCAACAGAGTAGGAATCAGATAGATGAGTGATATACCGGCGTGATGGGGAATTAGAAGGATCCCGGAAGCTGCTACCATTCGCAGTGACTATCATTGAGATCGTTCTCGACCTTGAAGATGCCTTTATACCTGGCAGTCCGAACGAAGTTGTAACGCTCATCAATCTTGGCACCTCGGAAAAAGCTGTCAAGTAGCTTTCCTTGAAAAGGGAACAACTCAGTATCGACCTCTTCCAGATGGGTATCCGGGCGATAGCGAGGTCCAGGAACTGATGGTCGGCTTTTGTGTGTAGGCTTCGCCGTCGAGGTGAATGATTCACGAGCCATAACTGCTCTGGTATTGGGGCCCAAAATTCGCATTTGAACGAAATATCCAGGGGGGCACTGTCTCGAGTACACTTCTGGGATCTCTGAAGAATAGCGCCTTGGCTACGACGCATGACCAGAATGAGGCGGAGAACAGAACGACGACGTCTCTCTAGGTCCCGGAAAACATAAGAGAGGACCTACGGAGGTTCGTTGGTCCTGAAGAAGATGGTGTGATGGAATATTTCGAGTAGATATCACGAGAAGACGCCGAATAGGTGCGAAGACGGAACGAGTTCAGCGGTAGTCTCTGTGCTCTATAAAGTAAGAGCGTCTCGTGCATTTTCGTGACAGCGGATGTGGTGATCCATCGAATAGGTCCACTGGTCATAACTGAAGATTTCTAGTGTGTACTGTCCAAGCACGATGGGATAGCTGTTAAAGTAATGATGGACCTGGGTGTAAAGACGTTACTATGCAGTCGCCCTGCAGGTCGCGCGCCGGTCTCCCGTAAAATTTCAAAAAGAAAAACGTGTCGTCTTTTCATTATATGAAGCCTAACACGTGGCTGATAATGTATCATTGTGGGGCCAGTCCAACAAGTGAGAAAAAAAATGAAAACTTCCGTCGTCAGCCTGATGGGTGCATGTAGGCGCGTGTGGTCTCTTCCTGAGAACTTTTAGGACACAATTGGATTCAAGCCTCGGCGCTTGTAGGGAAGCCGCCGGATCGACGTAAAACATCCGACCCACGTTCGTGCACTAAGAGGTCCGGTGAAATCCGACGGCGGCCGATCATCTCCGTAGGTGTCGCGCCTGTACTCCACGTAATTCATTTCCTTGGCTGCAACTGCACACTTGTAAAAGACAGCTTGTTCGACATACAGGGTACCGTCTTCTCCTTCTTTCGGTTCTCCTTTACTCCTTGGTACAGTGACAGAAGAGCATTGTACCGAATAGGCTGCCCAGCGACGTTCAAATCCATTGAGGCTGCCGTTCCTCTCCTTCACCGCGTCCTCGTGCAGAGGCGTAAAACCGTAGATGCTCGGTGCTTCTTCGAGATCGATTGTTTATTACTTTCATGCTGAGATTTGGTGGCCGACAACAGCTCCTTCGACCCACCTTCGACGACAACTCCGCTTACCCGAGGTGATGATTGTTATTGCAGGTCCCACAATGCAGGGATGGGGTGAAAATGTGCTCAGGCTCAAAGAAGGGTCTTCGTAGGGTGGTGCTACCTGGCTGGGGTGGTAGTTCGATCACAGTAGGCGGCCAGGTGAGTCTTTTTTGCTCTGTTTAGACAGCTACTGAGGTTTTCCGCAGGAATATTCCTTACCTGCCCAACTAAGAATCTAAGAGTGGACATAGGTGCCTTATGAAGGATCATTGCCCCACAAAACTTTGTCCCATTATGGACCGTCATATTAATGCTAGCGTCTGCGTAGGACATGATACGCCTCCCCCTACTCTCTACAAGTTTCTCCTACAGTTGTACCAATGCAGGCACCAGGTTCTGTCACGATCATACCGTGATTAGCAAGGTCACCGTGGGCGGCTTCTATTTCCTGCGGTCACGAAACTCTTTCGATCCTCGCATTTAGCTATCCTGTCGCTCTAGAATTTTCCTCAAAGCGCTTTGGGTGAATGCGACGGCTCCATGTTTTTCATGTCTGTCGCTTCCGACCGGATTTCGGGGAGTGCGGAGTGCTTCAAGGGTAGAGCGTCATGTCTACAGTGGGATACATGGTTACTCGTGCTTTCTGCGCAAAAAAGTTGCAGCTCATGTTGGACAACGGCTCAGTCCAAGGCTTATAAGGCCGTTGCGGACTCTCTCTTCCTTTCTAAAGCATGTCTACCATACCACAGAGCCAGAATAGCGCCACCGACCTTGCCGCCTCAGATTCCAGCAGTGACACCTTGGCTGGTAAGAGGAGTGTCGTCAAGTCATTGTTAATTGCACTAGCATGTATGATGGCGCAAATTGTTAACGTGTGTATCAATCATCCTTCATCTCCCCTTCAGTATATGGTAGAGCATTAAATGCACACTTTGCAGAGCACCAATACCAGTGCTATCTCAGTTACGCTGCCTACTCTGGCAAAAGAACTTGATATTCCAGAAGAAAAATTAAACTGGATTGCGTCGGCAGGACCCTTAGTCACGGAAAGTCTCTTTCGTGTCCTCTCTTTTCTCGCTTTGCTCATGGACTGTGCAGGCATGTTTTCTGATAATGTTTGGGAGAATATGCGATCTTTATGGCCGCAAAAAACCATTTTTATTTGGTTCTTTATGGATGGCGGTATTTACCTTAGCCGTCACCTTCGCCAATGGTAAGTTCATTCTTCTTGCTGTTATTATCGACTAATATGCACCGTAGATGATATCACCATGGACATATTAAGAGGCCTACAAGGCTTAGGTCGTGCCGCTATGATGCCTGCTGCTGTTAGGTCTATGATTATCGTCGTCATCCATTCCACTGACAGCTCCTCCAGGTGGGAATTCTCTCGGAAACCTTTAAATCTCCGGAGGGGCGGCGAAAAGCCTTCACTGCTTTCAGCGCAGGACAACCCATTGGCACTGCTCTTGGTACAGTCGTTGGTGGAGCCATGACCCAACTAACCAAGTACGCGCCCATTTCCTCTTCACTCTGCCTAAATCTCACCGGTGCGGCGTGGTAGGCAAACATGGAGATCTCCGTTTTATCTCATTACGGTAACCTGCGCGCTTTTCAATCCATTAGATGACGATCTTTTTAACTCCGCATCTAGGGCCTCTCTTTTGCGATTTTCGTTCTTGGTTTATATGCTGTCGATGACGACACCCCATCAACCGAAATGGATCGGCGAATCGATTGGATTGGCCTGGTTCTCGTCAGCGCTGGCCTTATGCTCATCATATTCGTCTTATCCCAGGGCGAGGACGCTTCACAACAGTGGAAAACTCCTTGTATGCTTTCCCCCCTCCCTCCCCGCCTTACATGTACTCAAGGACTAACCCTGCGAACAGACATCATCGTCCTCCTCCTCTTCGGGATAGGGCTCCTCGTAGCTTTCTTCTTCTGGCAACATTACCTTGGAAAGAAGTATGATACGAAAGCAGCAAAGTGGTGTTCGCCGCCGCTGATGCGATTGTCGCTATGGACACGGGCGAGGGGGCGGGTCGCAGCAACGTTCATCATCACGCTCTTGACGTGGTGTGCTCTATATTCATGGCTGTACTGGGCTCAGGTACGTCCGTCATATATCCCCCCCCCCCACCACATCTCTAAAAAAAAAAAAAATAGCTGTATTACCAAAGCTACATCGGCCTCGCACCCCTCGTTACAGTCATCCGCCTCCTCCCCGCTTACATCACTGGGGTTCTATACAATGTCATCCTGACCATCCTCATGAGCCGGATCCCTTTTGTGTTCCTCATGGCTGGCGGAAACGTCTTGACCGCCATCGCGAGTTTGCTTTTCGCGGTGATCGACCCTCGTGCTGTTTACTGGGCCTTTGGGTTCCCTGCGGCGGTGCTGGCACCTGCCGGGGGCGGATTTGCATATGCGTGTTCGATGATTTACATTACCAAGGCGGCTAGGCCACATGAGCAGAGTATGGTTGGGGCTGTGGTGCAGACTATGACACAGGTGAGTGTTGGGTCGTGTGATTGTGGTGTGTGTGTGTGGGGGGGGGCTGATGTGAGAGTTGTTTTTGGTTAGTTGGGCACGTCGCTGGGTGTTACGGTATCTACTGTGATTTTCGATGAAGTATCTCAACAGCAGACGAGCGGGCAGGGAGCCCCACCGGGTTTGGGCAGTTATAAGGCTGCGCAGTGGACGACTTTGGTGTTTGCGGGGTTAGGTGTGTGTGCTTTTTTTTTGTTTTTTTTTAATCTACTTGGAGACATGAGCTGAGTCTCTCTGCTCTGCTAGCTGCGTTGTTGGCGTTGGTCGCCTTTCGAGGTGTTGAGGTCATGGAGCGCAAGCATGATAGTTGTGATGCAGAGATTGGGGATACTGAGAGTACTAGCACGATTGCTGACTCGTGAGGAAAAATGACGATGAGGGGGGGGGCGGCGCAGAGTTGATTGTATCTATCTATTTCGTCTATTTTATCGTCACGTTTGGCAAGCAAAGTGCGATGTTGAACGAAACACTGTCGAGAGGTTGAACGTTAATGCTGAACGAGCGGTGGACATCGATGACATGCAATCCCTGCGGGAAGGTAGCATGAAAGGTAGCAGAGAATAAACGTGTCGGTCCAGCACCTCAACCACGTGGACCAGCCGGTAGGTGGCGTTGACAGTGGTACATTGGAAGGTTGTTTTTGTTCCCCTTGTATATCTGTTTTCGAGCCGTTTGGTGGTTATCTGTCTGACATATGTATGGATGGATAATGTAAGTTTAAGTTTTTTTATTTATCGCTCACGAGTACTCGTCCTGACGTCATCCAGAAATTGCCTTTCCCCTCCAGTACCGTACCCGCGGCTACCTACGTACACGCCTTCACAGTACTGTTTCCGATATTACACTACTACTGTCATCTTCGTGGTCAATTGGCATTTTCCCCGCCCCCCTACACGGCTCGCCAGGTGGGATAACTTCCAGGGGGACGGTTCGTTCCCCTGAATAAACATCCCGACGCTACGTAGCGGCATTATACTTCCACAATGCTGACACAATGATGAAATCAGGCTCGACTCGGACTCTTTTTTGGTTTTAAAAGAAAAACAGCGCTGGTTTTTGACATCTTGACTTGTATTAAGGATCTCGCCTGGTAGAACTACCACTCGTCCTCGCATCCATCTCTTAAATGTCAAATCACACACAGTGGGCAGTTCATGCTGGTGCCACTGCGCAGCGGGACTTCAATGTTAGCCTGTGCAGTTGGACCAAAGTGGATGCCATTGATAGCATTAGACCCGGCTCTCGACTCTTTCGAGACGAGAAGGAATCAGTCTTCACACACTGTGAAGGGGACCCTCCCCTCCCCGATATGTTATATTTCATCTCCCCATCCGCAAGCTCACAGGGAGAAATTGCAAATAGGATTACGCCTTTCACTCTGTCTCCAATCTTTTCATAAGCCTGAACTTTTCAGACTTCAGAGGTAATAGTACAAAATACAAGATACAGTCAAATGTCCAAATGTCCACACAATCACATAAAAAAGAGCACAGATTTCGAGATCGTGATGGTATTACTATCCCTGTGGTATCCTCACTCATTCCAGCGCTCCCCATACCCCCAACCCCGCAAAGAATATGCCCAATCCGATGACCATACCAACATAGACTTTTACGTGCGGTCTTTGAAAGCCCTGCGCCGCAGCCTGCAGAACTATCACCAATGGGAACGTCCACCACCACACGAGCACGGACGTAGGGTGAGGCGCATACGAGTACAGAGACGCCGTCAAGAACAGTGCCGTTCCCAGCGAAAACAGCAGGGACCCGACGCGCTGGAGCACGAACACGAATAACGGGATCTCAATAAATGGTTCTCCTATCGCTTCTTCGAGCTCGGCTCGCGCTCGAAGGTGCGAGAGGAGGGAAAACGACGTCGACACCGAGCTGGACCCATCCTCCTCCTGTCTGCTCAGCAGCTCCTCCTGCTCCCTCTCCTCCAACGGCGAGTACAGGCTAAACGACCTGTAAGCACTTCGTATACCCACAAAAGCGTCGGTCGCCGCCCATGCCAGCCCCACAACCCAGACTCGCACAAATGCAGGGTCTCGAATGGTGGGTATGGCGTAATCCGCTTGGTGAAGTACACCCAGAAGCGTCGGAGCGATGAAAATGAGCCCGGAGCGCACGGTGGCCCAGAACAGTATGTCTGTGCTCTCGGGGAGGTGGTACGACACTGAGCAGAGTGCTACAGAAATGAGAATTTCGGGTACAGGAAACGGAAGTTCGGAATGCTGGTTATTTTTGGGAAGTGGAAGGACCAATAACGGAATGAGGCTGAGTGCAAAGGCGCAGAGCGTCGCTACTGGTACGAGCAGAGTATATAGACGAACGTGACGGCTGTAGTGCGCGGGATCATCAAATTCATTCCCTTCAGTGATTAGAATGTGGTGCTCTGGTACGCATTCGAGCGTCACGGACGCTGAGCCGTAGTTGGGTACCTCGTCTTGCATGGTGGGAAAGTCGCAGGGGGCGTCCATTAAAGGGGCGCAGTTGATGTCATCCCTTACCGGATCTTCGGACCGATGACCGCACTCCTGTGTCGTCGGGTTTTCGAAACCATGGCGAATATACCGCTCGGTGCATTCTGTTCGTTCGCCCAACAGAGCCGGGAACCTACCACTGGGGATTGTACCATCATTGCCTCCCCCCCCAAAGTCCAACAGCGCAGTACGGGTCTGGTTACAAGTTTCATGTGAAGAACGCAGGCGACCTCTATCTGATAAAGATGGGCCAACTTGACCCAGCATATGCAGCTCATCTCTGGATCCATCTTGAACGGGTTAACTCCACCTTTCCTTCCCCATATACTGTATTTTCATGCCAAGTCTGGGTGGCTATCGCTCTTCATATTGTCGGCAGAGGCCGGTCACCTATCGCAAGCCAAATTAGCAACCAAATGCAGCTGTCCATTCTCTCTTCCAATGACACCCATATGAACAGGCGGTATTACGTTTCTTCTTCATAGTGTTATCAATCATTGTCGCCACGTCTATCAGAATACTGCTTCGCAGCTTTACGGTGATTCTCTGCTCGAAGAATCACTCGGCCCTGCCGTCAATTCTTTTCACTCTGTCAATTGCCTAACCCTAACCTATACATTATGATGGCGTATACCACTTTAAAATGACGAGGGAAGCGGCGAAAACGTATTATAGAACGGGTCGAAGTCGAGAAGAGTGATACTGAGGACCTGTTCAGCAACATTTGAAGTAGGGTACTGTCTAAATCAAACTGTGCAGTCCCAAACTATTGGTCTCGAAGTTGAGAATACTTGAATTGATTACTGAAATACATGAAATGGAATAGCGAGAGTTTAAAGCTTGGACCTGCATGGTCATGCGAGTGGCTATTACCAGTACAGGGATGGAAGAAAGGGACAGAAAGATGAGGATAAACCATGTATAGGATGGGATAACTGAGAGGGTGATACAATCGTACGATATAACCGGTACCAGACGTGACACAGTGAATTGCATTCAGACAAACCCATGAACCAAGTATCCAAAAGCATTTGTGTGACCTTGGATGAATATTAGCAAACAGCATCATCTAACTGGGAAAATCCAAAACCTTTCGCCTCTCCCAGGTCAAGAACTCCACATATTTTCAAGTAGTAGCACCCACACCCCCTCCGTCCTCGGTAAATATCCAGACTACATCCATTGCGGGATTATCGTAAATCCTTGACAGGGTTTGCTGTTTCTGCTTACACAATGCCGGTAAATTACGACTGGGTACTTTATGATCGTACGTCTAAAAAATCCGGTGCCGAGTCTCACATAATGAATCTCAGAAAAGGGCCGCACCGTCATCAACGCCATCAAGAGAGATTTCCTTATCATGAGGTTCGCTCATATCCAATCTGGAATGGCTCAAATCAGTTATTAACCCTCTTCTCTCGCGTTACATGTTACAGTATTCCACGAGTAACTCAGAATCTAACTATTAACAGACGCTGGTCTTCTCAAAAATCTTTCATGAGATACATCCGGGAAATGTCAATAACGGTAATAGGTGTAAATTTGTGTCCACGAGCACGTAGAATAAAGGAGGAAGGACACGACATGTTGGTGAAAGTGGATTCCACGCAGAGCGCACGATGCCGGCCGTTACTAATTTTAAGACCCAGATCAAATCTCTGGTTTATAAGTTTAAATAATATATAGAATTTTAATGATAACGAACTTGTTCGTCGTTGTTGCTTACATATCTGTTTTCCAGTCCTTACTCCGATTTCCCTGTCATACATATGATGGACAATGTAAGTTGCATTGCTCGCCTATATGCGCTCATCCTGACAGCATTCAGAAATTGCCTTTCCCTCCACTACCATCCAAAGGATACCCTTGGCTAAACCGCCTTCGTGGATACATACACGCTTTCATACTAATTCCGATATCACACTACTACTGTCGTCTTCGTGGTGAAGAGCTCCCGCCTGGCATTTTCCCTCTTCCATTCAACCTTATACTTAAATTCACGTTGGGTACCCGAGAGGAGGAGGGTCTGGCTATGTCCCTCGCTCGTTCCGTTGGCATCCCTGTACCTCGGTTCATCGAGTATGGTGATCACTGTGGCAGAGTGCCTTGGGGGTCCATTCTTATGACCCGCATACCAGGCAAGCCTCTGAGTGAGGTAATGGATAATCTATCGCGACAGGAATTGGAGACTATCAAATCGGAGCTCACGGATATCCTGAAGCGCATGCGCTCTTATTCGAATCCATGGGGCAGCCGCGTTTGTGGTGTTGACGGAAACGATGTCTATGGGTCTCGTATGCCTTCGCGGCATATCAGCGCCTGTGCAAACGAACCCATGTTTCTGAAATCTCTTCTTCGATTCGCCCTTGTCAATGATAGTGAGGAGGACCGCATCCGACTGCAGATGGCTCGGAAGTTGACGTCTTTACCTCACGATATCGTCTTCACCCATGGCGACCTTTGGGATCATAACATCATGGTAAATGACGGACATATCAGCGGTATGATTGACTGGGAGTGGTCTGGGTGGCTTCCCGAGTATTGGGAGTTCACGTCGATCATGCAATGGCGTAGTTCTCCATGGAGCCAGCAATTGGCTACTTTACCTTGTTACAAGTACTACAGAGAGCTGGAGTGGGACTTGGCCCTTATAGAGCTCACGGATTTTTCCTTGTAAAGGAAGGCGACTCTAGAGTAATGACCCATGTAATCGATTTGTAATTGATTGACTCACCTCAATTTATCCAGAAGGACTAGAAGGAACATCACCATGGACGACAAGGGAGTAGAGATCGACTGTGATCTATGATCATTACACAACACGGCTTCGCTTGAGCTTGGCAGGTGGGATAACTTCAGAGTGACGGTTCTTCCTCTTGATAAATATCATCGTCATCATAATGTTAGACGCTACGCAGCAGCATTGAACCTCATTGTACTTCCGCGATGCTGGCACATGGGGAATGAGTGTAAATTTGAAATCAGAATCAACTCTTTTTGGTTTAACGAAATGCAGCTTTGATGTCTTGACTTTCTCAATGGTATTAAGGATCTCGCCTGGTAGAATGACCACTCATCCTCGCATTCATTTCTTAAAATTCAAATCGCCCAGTGTGCATTTCATGCTGGTAATATGCAGTGGGACTTTGTTGATGTCATTGGAACATTCAAGGAGGAAGAACCTGTTTATGTTGCCTTTTGACAGCTGAGATCAAGGATGGCAGTGATACCTGGACCCCCATTTGGAGATGTCATTGAAGAACAGTTGCATTGTCAAGTCATACCAGTAGGTATGAAATAGGAACTGAAGCAGCCACCAGATATTCCGGACCTAGATCACAAGCAAAGTGCAAGAGAAAGAACATATATTAAACTCATACTGCTTGCACTAGGCAAATGACTAAGTCTTGCCTTCTACCAACAAAAAAAAGTCCTCAATGATGAAAATAACTGCTGGAAGCATGTTGCTGAGAGACAACCCTGTGAGGTGGTAGTGATAGTGGTTGAAAGTCAATAGTGTCAGCATATTGTTAGGAATGTGCCAATATGTGGGCTTGGATTGCACACAGAGACCAGCAGAGTGCTCGGGCTTGGCCAAGCTATTAGCAATGTCATCCTTGAGTTGAAGCCCAAAAGATTTGGATGCAGAGCAGAATCCACAGAGGGAGCAGAGTTTGATGAAGGTTCAAGGTAATCCAAATAGAGCAGAATCCATCAGATCTTAAGGCAATGAGATGAAGACAAAGTATTGGGCTGAACCAAGTTGATATTCAAACTGAATATCTACTGTGATTGTACTAGGCTTATATACTAGAGGTAACTAATCCTGAGTCAGAGTCTAATGGACTCTGGTGCTGTCTATTTGCTACCAAAATTGGGTTCTAGAATTAGTATGTGAATGGTAGGTTGGAAACTTAGAAGTTGTTGGAAATCCTGGGTGTTGCACAGGGTAGACTCCAGGCTGGTAAGGCCAGATAGAATGAACTTGTTCTTCTACAGCTCCTACAGAGCTTGTATTTATACTCTCCAGGCTTATATCTAGAATTTACTACAACTTTCTCTTGAGCTTGAGCTTACTCATCAACTCTCGGCATGATGCCGGATTGCCCTTTCTAGAACTTTCCGGCAAAATCCCAACAGAAGTTGAAATTGGTAAGAAGCAAAGGCCATTGGCATGCATGTAACACAGATGCTGATCACCAATCATAAGCCAAATTGGCAGCCGCCGCTTTGCATTTTCTCTTCTGATGATGCCCATATGGATCTATGGCATTACATTTCTTCTTCATACTAGTATCCCTCATTGTTGCATGTTCCTAAAAATAGCTGTGACGTCAATCACAAGAAGGTATGTCACTGTAGCTTTCTTTTTCTTTTTCTTTTTTGGACTGCGAAAACCCCTCTGAGCGACCTACCGCAGGATGATATCTGAATACCCATGCGGCGGGAATTCTTCACTGCCTATCATGTCGTGTCGTCGGTGGCGGCTGTTCGATGATGTTAAGCTTCTCAAAGCTGAGATTCATCGATCCTGTTTGTTTCTGATGACGAAAATCATGTCCAGCATCCTTGTATACGAATCTCTGGCTGGCTACGTTAATGCGCTAGCTCTCGAGTCTCTTATGCATGGTAAGCCCTACTTCTGAGAGTCACACGGGCCGATTAATTAAATGCTTCACCAGGTATATTCATCCTGTCGCTTCTCACGACCTTCTTCTGCAATTTCCTCATAATATACCGTATTGACTACAGTGACGGCGACCTCAACATCGTCGACATGCTGGTTAAATCTTCATGCCCTATTTGGTGTCGATGGTTGTGTTCATCGTCTTCATCGCGAGGGACGATCTGGGGAATGTGTATGCCCAGGCCAATATGAAATCTATTAGGCTGAGTAACAATTAACTATGCACTGAATTATGTTGACGGCGTATGTAGGGCATTGCGACGATCTTGATCGTGGAGAGGGTGGCTTCGAGAGGGGAAGATCTTGACGAGAATCCTGATGTGGAGAAACGGCATTCTGGGAAGAGGGTGTCCAACGCCATCACCATGAGAGAGCCCTCTTAGAATTTAGTCTTGTTCCTAGGAGCGGAGTGCCTAGTCGAATGAGTGGTGTCATGGAACTATGATATGCGATGGCAACGAGCTTCGTACACATGGTACGAAGCTCGTTGCCATCTTATAAGCTTATAGGGATTGAAATATTGAAATATTGAAGATCCGATATCAGTCATTCATTCGAGACTTGGGGCTCGCAATTCCTTTACAACCACGGCTCTAGGATTCGGGGTTGGGACGCGCGTTGCGGCAGTGGTTTTGTCACGTTAATCGGGATTCGGAGGCTGTTAATACCCGAGCTCATCAGCTTTTGTATAGGACGGCAAGCCATAGCCAAGAGAAGATTATGATGCTGACCAATCTCATCAGATGATGAAGCCCGGACCACCCCTCCAACCTCTTCTGCCATCATTGAAGACGCGTTCCCTTCTCCGCTGCCGAGCCATCCCACCGAACAACTAGTCTGGTTCCCCAAACATGTAGGGTTTATCAAGAACCTAGTTCAAAGCATTCAAGTTGGAGAATCGGTCCTCTGACTTGCCTGGCGACAATTCTGGGGCTTCTCCCCCTCTTTTTCGATTGCCGCTTCTCCACACTATATATGGGACGGAAGCGTTCTGTTTCGATTCACGAAACCTCTGCAGTGTTCGCTGTTAGGATTTAATCATTCATGAAAATCCATTATGGGGGCACGTTTGTCTTAACTTTGTCCCTCTTCGATAGTTTATTCTCGATTCTTGTTTTTTTGGTCCGTTAAAGACAAGTCGAACCCTATTCTGAGGACCATTTAAATAAGAATGCGGTCAGTATTGTACCTACCAACATTCGACTCCAAACTTATGTTTACTTCAGCTCTCCGCCTCGCGATCGCTAGGCCCAGCTCCGTACGAATGCTTCTGACGAACCAGAAACATTGTCCTGCGACACTCCTCAGTCCACGAACCAGCATTTTTGTCGACGCGTCCAGTAGGTGGGGCATCGGGATCTGTATCGACGGGCTTTGGGACGCATGGCGTTATCACCCTAGCTGCTCGTTCACACCAGAAGACATAAATTGGCTTGAATGCCTCGCAGTGGAACTAGGGCTGCAGACGATCCAAGCGCCAGGCATACAGATGACGATGTTCACTGACAACACTGGGGTGATTGGCGCGTTTTATAAAAAGAAGAATCGAAATCCGTTGATCGACTCGTCGGTCAAGCGTATACATTCACTGCTGGAGGCCAAAAAGATGATAGTGGAATTGGTTTATGTACCAACGAAGAATAATCCGGCGGATGTTTATTCGAGGGGACGGTTCGGTCTTCCGGAGGAGAGGATCCTACGGCCTTTGAGTCTTCCGAGAGAGTTGAGCTCTGTTGTATCGAGGGCGGTGTTTTGGTGAGTCCTTCTGTTTCAATGAATTAGCTTCGAGATAACGTACTCATTAATTGTCCAGATGTCAAGAACATTGGATTTGCATTGCAGTGAAAAGCATGCAACTTTAATTGCCTCTGAATAGTGTTGTACAGGCTTCGTAGCGCCTTCTTGGCTGATGATAGGTATATAGCAGAGTCTACGGTCGCAAAGTTCTTTAGTATTTATTTTGTACTGATCTTGATGTAAATCTGTATCCGTCCAGGCGTCTTAGGGCTTCGCGCCGTCACTGTATGGTGCTGTACGGGTGCTGTCAGACGGTTCAGTCTCTTTTGGACCATGTGGGTCTATACAGGTACCTGAAAACAGACAAATTTGGGAGTTTTTCGACCAACGTGGATACAAAACAACGAAAGCTGACCATTTCTGCTATACTGGGCCCTGATTTCTGCTCTTATGGGTAACTATCGGTACATATACAATAATGATCGCCCATCGCCGTCACCGTACCATCAACGCCAAATTTTCTGACGGGTCACGGCCGTCCCCTATATGGCCATACACTGTATACGGTACGGCTCGAAGCCCTAAGGTCCCGGCCACCAGGGAAATAGGTGCAGTCATCAAAACAAACTGAGCTAGCCACAACAGAACACTGCTACTGCAGCTTCTTATTTGAATTTGAATACACCACTCGCAAGCAGGCATGGATGTTGCAATAAATCGTGGTGAATAAGGTGGAGGAACCCCTGCCCAGGAGGGCATCGATCACTAATTACTATCGACCATCATGGATTGTTCTCCGGTTGTATATTGTTCTGGTTGTATATTGGTGAGTGTACGCGCCTGTCATGAACGGACATCCGCGCGAAAGCTGGGTTCGACTCCCAGCCAGCGAGTCAGCGTCAATAAATGTCTCGTTAATTTTTTGTTGTCTGGAATGATGCAAATTTTAATATTCACTGCACAGTGTAGGGTTGCTCACGGAACCTCAAGGGGCGGGTAAGTTACAGTTTCATGCCGACCCCTGCTCGAAGGGGGAATGTTGATACGATAATTTACAACTATCACGTGCAGGATTGCATGACTGGCGCGCGGTTGTGGCAGATTTTTTCGAGACCTTTTGTCTTCGTGTTTTTATACATCTCGTCGGTATATATGATACAAAGGCCAAAAACACTAGTATCACATGTCTCGAAATCTACTGACACGTTGGCGTACATATGTAAGTTTGAGACGCGTCTGTGGCGTGAGAATCGTAACAATGTCTTTCCATCCAGGGCAAGCTCGATAATATCAATCAGGCGGACAAGTTCCGCGCATCAAGCGATATCATAAACTAAATGCTTTATGCGTGAGAATGCGACACGTACTGGATAAATTGGCGACATGAAACGAGACTTCTTGGTATGTTCTATTTCTCCATCTATCCTTTATTCCCATCTCTGCCGGACGTAGTTTAGGTACAACAGAAGACAGTGAGGCCATGCCCGCATTAAAACCCCACCACTGACATCATTTCCCGCCGGGGGACGACGAATAGTACGACATAAGCATCAACTTTGATTCATCAAAAACTGGGGGACGGTGACCTGCCTTCGAGGCTCGTATGCATCCAGATCCCCCAGTCGTGTTCGATGGCATCCATTACGTTCTTTGGGACCGCGAAGTGGCCTTCCGAGTACCCACGGTCCGTTATTGACCACCTCCAACAAGCGATTGCGTCTTCCCGGCCCGAAGAGTTATACTGCTGATCCGCGCTAATGGGGGAGGCCGATCAAGACTTTTGGTGTAAGCGCTGGTACTGGCCTTGACGACGATGCATGGTATTGTCCCAATGCATTTTTCCTGTCTGGACGCTAGGAGCACGGTAGTAATTTCGCTGTACGTGCTGTGTTTTATCATTTATGGCCCCTTTAGGTTGGCTCGGGATATTTGGAAAGGTGGCATGTCAATATGCAGCTCATCACATCAAAGGCTTACATATATTTATCGATAATGAGTCCGAGGAGTACGCGCGAGGTATGCTTCTTGATTTTTTTTGTCGACACTATTTGCTGATGCGCGCCAGCGCGAGAGGCCTATCCGAAGCGTGAGAAGTGAGCTCTTCGCGCCGAGCTCATTTTCAGTGTGGGCATACCTACCATTCCTTGTACTGTGCGGATATCCGTAAGGTGCGTCGTTCATTTTGGATTCTCGCCGAAATCTGACTGAGACATGTGAAGGCTAATATACTGACCTTGTTGTGGAAACGCAGGTTCCCGGGAGTTCTGTACTGGGTCTATCCGATGACTCGCGCCTGGATATCATAATCAGGCGCAAGCACACCAACGCAAGAAACGTGCATGCCTTTCGGTGTGGGATTAGCCCAGTAACGTTTCGCTTTACCTCTTCCTTTTTGCTCATCTTAGCGTAAGGTATTCATGATACTGGGATTATACGTGAGGTGCTGATGAATGGAAGGCTAAACTTGTGGCAGGGAAGAGTGTTTGGTCATGAGGTATGATAGGTTGGGTGCGAGGGAAGTGGTGAGGAGTTGGAACAGAGGTAATTTTATTCATTACTAACGCTGAGCTTTTGATCAACTTTTTTGTCATAGAAATCCTGGTAATTCACAAAAATTATCCATCGTGAGCTTGGCACAGAATACGACGCAAGATTCGACCGTTATACAACATATATTTCTTTCGCCATGATATTTCTTCAATCATTGACGGCATTGTTAAAGAACTCAGCCTGAGTCATGTCGGCAGTCGGGTTGATGGACATCGTCATTCCCAAGCGGCAGTGAGCTCCGGCAGCTTGGCTGCAGGAGACGAAGTGAGGTTCGGTGTCGAGGATCGTAGTGGTGAAGGTGCTACCGGGCATGCTGACGGCGTCGATGCTAAGGAGGAAGAGCATTAGCCAACGAACCGTCGTTGGATGAACGACGCGACACCTACAATCCGCTATCAAACGCGTTCGGTCCTATACCCCCCGTGGGAGGAGGGCAAGGGTTCGTGAACGTTGTCGTCGTCGCCGAATCTGGCAGTTTGGTGTGAGCAAGCAAGACAACAGGAGGAGGGATATAGATGTACGATTCCTGGTCAGGAATGTGAAGGTGACGGTGTCCCCGATGACCGGAAAGATCTCGGTTGGGGTGAACGTGAACCCATTATCAAGGCCGACGGAGATGGGGAAGTCCACGCCCATGACGAGGGGCGCGGAGATGAGGATGAGAGCAGTAGAGATGATTGAGAGAAGACCCATTGTTGTGGGGATTTGAGTTTGGGTTGCTGGCTTAAATACTGTAGATTCAGAGGGAGCTCTGTGTACCAGCGCAATGGGTTCGAGCCTGGAAAATTAAGCATGCGCTCATTGTCACCAGACGCCAGGGAGTCAGCGTATTTCGCTTGTCGTCGTGAGTAGGAACCCAACAGGCGGGATGGAGTGGCTTTCCGTCAGTGAAGTCGATGCATCCGAAAGGTAAGCAGGCTCCCACATATTTTAGGGTTCCTGGGCTGAGGTCCCCGGTTGTGGGAGTCAACTTGGAAAAATGCCTCATATACCGAGCTTCGTGTTCACGTGTGTGATTTGATCTCTCTTAGTCAGAAAACTGCGCTTATTGTGCGCTTTTGTTGATGGCTGATCTTGAGGCTTCAGGCTGGCGACAGGGAGCTGCGAGACCTCAGCGTCAAATGGTGGTCCCGAGACTTGATAATGGACATTCTAAGTTGTATGACTGAGTAACTGCCAATTTCCTGACGGGGAAACAGACTTGGAATTGTGGATTCCGAAACACTGATGTCGTATCCGCCACAACTTGGCCCCAGCGTCTCGCGAGGAGCTCAGCAGTCTTGTCTTCTGGTGAGAAATTTCACATCTATATTCGAATTAATATCAAGGCCCTGAGCTACGGGTCCTTCGAGACGATTTCCACCAGCTAGTGAGAAACTCACATAACCTGGCACCTCGGGATGCAAGGAACCGATATACTTACGTAGCAGATACTTGAGGACACGGGAGTATGCATTAGGTGACGTGAATAGAAAGGATCGTGTCCGTTCAGCAAGCATGAATCGCTTCCACCATGCGATAAAAATGTAGGACTCAGTTGGGAGGACTATGAAGGGACTATAAGGAAGGGAGAGAAGAACAGCCTGTAGCATACGACTCACTGAGTTGGTACGAAGCCGGCCAGCAGTAGGTATACAGCAAATATTGGGCCGGTCCTTTGAGAACACGGTACTCAGGGCGCGTCGTCGATTTTGGTGCCGGGACGGTCTTTGAAACAACGGTTGGAGGAGAAAAGGCACTTACGAGGGAAGAAAACGACGAGTCGAAAGCGAGCCATCCGGCCTGAGAATTATAGCCCAATTACTATTGAGAAATTCGAATGAACAGTACTGGTTGCCCACCATGAATGTTCCGGCCTAAACTTAATCAGCTTCAAATTCATCTGCGGCCAGTTCACAAAATTGTACTGGGATTAATATTATGATGACTAGAAAATCAGAAAGTGTGATGTACGCAGTTCAACGAAGACCAACCGAACAGTGACCTGGATCCGCTGCCATCTCTTGCTGCCAATCGGAAAGACTATGCAACTTGAACTGCCTCAGCCCATGTGAGTAGCCACAGTATCCGACCCCATATTCATTGCAGCTTCCGGTTACCGTGAAATGTCGAGGCCTTGGTATCTCTAATGGGACCCGGCTAAAAATCAAAACAATGACAGTCAGCCACCAGTGTCCGAGTCCGTCTGACGGAAACGGCAGTCACACGCACCACGTGATCTAACGCCGGCCGGCCATTGTCATGATGCTCAGTCATCCGATTCTCTCTGGCTTCTCGCCATCAGGCCATCCCTGAAGCTCGTTGGTTCCCATCTTCGTCGAGATCACCTTTACAGACGGATCTTCTCCGGCGCATCCCCCATACCGGTGCGATATCTGCTACTATCCAAAGAGTTATCCTTCATTATCCCTAGTACTAGGATAAGTCATCATTGCCAATTGGCTTCCTATTAGCTTACTATGGGTATACATGTCATAGTCTTAGTTCACTCCTCAGAACCTCTGGTAGACGCGTGTGCCGAACATTTATAGCGATGGCAACCTGCTCTGGCTACTGGGTCCATCAAATGAAAATTTCAGCGGGGAACGGTTTCTTTTTATCTTCTGGCTTCTCTTCTCTCTTCACTCTCCACTTACCATTTGCAGCGCCTCTCTTGACTTGATCGTCCCTATTTGCTGTGGTATGCCATTATAATCTCTGTTGTCCGTCAAGGCCGAGTCGCAGTGTCATCTTTGAGGGACATCAAACCATTCAAAAGCCAATTTAGATACCATGATATGGAAAATTCGTGGCGCATGATGCATATCAGAATGTCACGTAAGAAACGTCCACAGAAATGGTGACTGGCTGAAACTGGGAATGTCATAGCTCTGACTTTTTTTTTTTTGAAAAGTTCACGGTAAAATTGGATCATATATAGGTATGAGGGAATACGCCTAAGGCACGTAAGACTGTCATTAAACATTAAGCTAGGTTACTAACGAAAACAATGCGGTATCCAAACAAGAAAGTACAATAGCATAGATCGAGAGAATTAGAATCAGCGTCATCGCAAGAACGGTGTAATTTCGGCACAGTTCACCATTCCAAAACCGGAGGAAAGAACTTTTCAATCAAGCCTTTATAGTACGGCTTGAGCTTTTCGACGTCAATGACTTCGTTGCTTTTGCTGTACAGATCATACGGATTGAATGCTCGGACGGCGACGAGCAGGTTTTCGTCTTCTTCATTGGTGAGGTGCGTGTAGGCATTTTCGCGATGCCATCTGCACATACGAGGTTAGAATGATTGCTAGCGTCGAGACAAATGCCAGACTCACGGGTAGAAGCTGTGATACCGGATCATGGCAAGACCTTCCTTCGGGAGGGATGACTGGTTTTTGAGAACGTTGTATAGGTACTGAACAAGTGGCCAATCAATCAATCAATTCCTGGTCTAACCAAGAAGAAAAAACGAACCTCATCATGTCCCCATGATAGCATGACATTTTCCAATCCGCAGTGAGGCTCGTAGACGCCGTATTCTGTTGAATAAACGGGGTCCGTCGAGTCCGGGTTGTTGGCAAAAGTATCCGGATAAATGATCTTATCAGAGAACCGGCACCCCACGACAAACGTATCCTATGAACGAAGACATGATGTCAGTCCCCAAGGTACCACTAGTCCAAATTAAACCTTACGTACCCCGACAACATCCCACTGTCCCCTAAAACAGCATTCCGGTATGTTAATTAACACGGATCATGACAAAAGACGGCACTGACTCGGAACCAAAAAGAAAAAGCAGTTTCCCGAGATCGTGCACCAGCCCAGTCACTTGCATCCACTCGGGCTTTCCGTCCCGCCGAATGGACTCGGCTGTTTGAAGGAGGTGTGTTATTTGCGAAAGTTCGGTCTAGTGGGCTATGAGCTGGAAGGGTTGAATGGAATACGGAAAGGGCCTACATCAGGGTCCGATTCATCGACGAGCGTGTCAAGCATCTCGATAGCCTCCCAGACGCCTGCATGGGCGCGCATCAGTATCATGAACGAAAAGGGACTCCACCAAGCATACCCATTCTCGCCCGGACGTTCTTGCGGAAGGTAGCGCGCACCTGGATGTTAAATTCCATAGTCTGTTTTTCTGCAAGGGCGTGAGATCTGAGGGGAGGACGAGAAGGAGAGGGAAGACCGACCGTGTTGCTCCTTGTAGAACGTCTTGACTCGATCACACGCGTCCTCGTATTGGCGGAATCGCGTCTTGTCCATGTTTTCGTCAAACTCGGACTTGTTGTCCCAGACAGCAGGAGCCTTGCCCTTAAGGATGTTAACTACAAGGGGCAACGGTCGTCAGCGCGGCACTCTAGACGACGAGTTTTAAGTTACCTGCATCGACAGCGTCGGAGACCTCTTCAAATTCGCTAGAGATGGTGCGCATTGTTGTCTAGGTGAGAGTGAGGAAGAGGACTGGGGGGGATGGAGTTTAGGGCGTAGCATTGGAGGTGCTTAAATACCGATGTCCTCAGGCTGAGTCAAGGTCCGTATTCGAGCAGAGATCGGAAGCAAACACACGTGGAGAGATGTGTTGTCCGGACATGCCCGCAGTCAATCTTTTCATGACTCGAAAAGTATACAGTCCATGTCCACCTTGCTTCTCGAAGTCGACCCTAACCCACATTTCGGAAGAACTTCTGCCAATGAGATAACGAGTTTCTTTGCAATCAATCAACAACCAGCGCGTGCCTTCAATGTCATATGGAGAGGCAACTTCTTTTCGGCGGCCACGATGTGATAGACTCATCCCTGGGAGCCTAATTCGGATATCTGTTGGGAACGACAAGTTATATTAGGTAGTTGCGCGTGAAGCTGGAGCCCCGGCGGCGGCGTGAGCTGGACATTTGCTAAGAGGGTCAAACTTCTGTCGATCTAGACTTGGTTCTGTGTCTTAGGAAGTTGATTTAAGCCGTACAGATTCTTCAGGCTTGTATCGCCGGATGTTTGAGCGGCGATGCGTGGCGTCACCGACTTATCGCAACAAACTTTCGATGTGGCGTGCTTGAGGAAGTTCGTGGATATTGTTAACGCTTTCTGAGCGGAGAAGATGGCTTCAGCGTGAATACATTTAGTGGCGAGTACTGTGTAAAAGTGGGCCTGCGTTCGAAACCGATTCTGGAAATTGCAATGAACAAAACAATAAATCTTGGCGAATAGATGTCGGTCAAGTCAGCGATAAGGACCTTGCGACTATTGTTCGTCTCGTGGGGATTGCACGGCGGCTTCATCTTAGCCTATAATGACAATCAATTAGCAAAATCCACAGAAGGAGTTCCGAAATGACATACATAGTCCCGCAATTTTTAGGCCCTTCATTTATCATTGATGTCGAAGCTAGTAAGTTGCGGAAGATGAAAAACATACATCTTTTCGATGGATTATTAAGATGGAAATGTCTAAAGTCTGACTAGACAGATTCACGGTGCCATGACGATTAGTATTCCCTGACTACGCAGTTCGTGCGTCGTGACGCAGTTATCGATGAACATTCGAAGCATATATTTCCAAACTGAAGTTCTTACCTCGGACAGAGACCAAGATTCATGTTCTTGAGCTAATAGCACGGCCGACGAGACACGGTATCCCACACTAGAGAAATAGCACCCGGTTCTATATACCTAGGTCAAATGGAGAATGAAAGCCTGCACATTTTTGCAGTCTGAATTGATAATTCACCATTGTACGGCCTAGTTGGGGAAATTTGCAAAAGCTGTCATGCGATAGGATTCAGTGTGAACTTTTTGTGAACCTGGGACAGGGTTGGTGTCGCCGCAAACTATAACTCAATGATGGTCCCATGTCAACTTGAATAGATGCCAAGATGTCCCACAGGCACCATTGAGTCGTTCAACGAGGCGGGTACCTAGAAACACATGGAGAGATAAGAATCATACAGAAAGAGCGCAGCGGCACCCAAAATTCAGATATAGCTGGGCCAGAATTTCACGAACTGCACTGGACGAGACGGTGTGAGTCGAAGGAAAACCGAAGTTGGGCCGAATGCATCAAAGTTGCCGGCGCTGTTTATCGGCAATCTCCGGCTTGACCTCGAACTTCACCATCATCGCAAGAAAAATGTTTCTCACCGTTAGGCAAGATATCACTCTAATTAGGCCATTCTCGACCAAGAAAAAGCGATGATTGGAAATTATTGTGTATAGATAGCCCTACGGTACTTGAATTTTTTTTTTTTTTTTGCCTGTGTCTACTTTTCCCTAATGTGCTGTTCTGCCTCGTTCTAGGACGACCCTATTTTTACTCACTCTAAGCGCACTCAAAGGTCAATCGCACGTTGCGTGTATAACTCAATGCGCTCATTCGCAGGATTGTTCCAGGGTTTGTACGTACAACCAACTTTCAACCCTATTCGTATTATTGATATCTGTGAAGAAACGTTCCCGCCCTCAACTCACTCTGGGGAAGCACGAGACCAACGATTGACTCACTTTTACCCACCTGTGGAACTTCGCACACACAATCCCCTACTCCCGGAACCACGAATTGTGCGTTTGACAGAGTATTCGGCGGAAAGCAGTGGGCTTGCCGTCTTGAGGCTTCTTGCCATTGGTACCAAGGGCCACGAGGACATGTCTCAATATAAGGGTTGTATGCCGGGAACTTTCAAAGGAAGAAATCGACACGGCGGTGGAAGGTTTGTTGCTTGCGGTCCGTACCCCAGGATTTGGCTCTAATGAATTCTTTCCGTATTTTGTAGTTCCATGACTTGAAGTTGGCGATCTACTACGAACTACGATGAGGGCGATTATGGCATCATATTGTACGCACGGCGCTGCCTTTTTGTCTTAGTCTGTCTAAAATATTTAGCGAAGAACCTCTGCGTTGGCCCGTGTACCTTCTGCGCAAACCGGTGAAGACTGGATATTGAAAAAGCTTCGGAAGGCATGGCAACATCGTTCCTCAGCAGCCACTCTTTCATCGCGAAGATTTAGCCTGCAGAACAGAAACAGCGTAGTGGAGTTGTCACTAGTAACAAGAGATTTCACAGGCATTGATAAAAACGACACATGCTCGAGCGTCCGAATACAAAAATCCTGGCCGTTACTGCACAAGAGTCCGAAATGACCGGTATCTGCACATCTGGCCAGGGCAAGGCTCGGATTCGCGCAACGAGGCGGCCACTCGGTAACTCTGGGAACGCTTCCGGAAGCAGTGGTGCGGTCTTCGCACCAGGGTCTTACTTAACGGCGCGCGATGGTTAATTGCGGACCGGTTGCGCAGGCCCCTATCCCTGGATTCACTGCCACCACCATCCATTATATCGACTCCTACAGCCGTGGAAAGCGGATCTTCTCGTGAAATATTACCAGAAGATGGCCGGGTATCGGTCAGTTCGCGCTTAACTTTCGATATTTTCCTCCTGATCTTATTGGCAGGCCATATAACTTTGATTCTAAGGCAAACTTTCTATCCCATTTCGGAAATGTTTCTCCAGGAGGCAGACGAACCGCAAGTGCGGTTTGGCCGTCGGCCTATGACTATTCTTTGGCCGATGGCGAATCCTTCCTTGTCATCTTCTCGAGAGAATGGAACGAAGCTTATCGCGCCACCTGCACAGATGTCCTGTTCGCTCAGAGTGTAACGCGCAGGCGAATGTAGTGGTGTGGGCGACATCATTGTGAAGATCGTAGCGACATCTACAGCTCCACGAAGAACGGGTATTGACCTTTGTCCCTGTGAAGACGGGGACGCAGAATAAGATTCGACATGTATTATGTCGATAGAGGAGCCACGTTGTCCATGGCATATTGGTACGTTTCCAGGCCGCTATATATTCCCTATCTTTCTCATCCTTGATGATAACCACATCCTGAAGAAGCGCTATCGGTTTCAAACGGTGATCTATCGAACTGCGACATTAGGGTACGCCGGTTGAGCCTCATGGTGACCTGGTGGACTCTTTAAGATAAGAGCCGCCCTTATCTCGAGGCGCATGTAGCACTTTTGTACGATGTGAGGCGACCCTACTATGTTTTGTTCTCCCAGACTTACGCTGCTCGCAGTCATCAAAGTCGCTCGAACACGCTTGCATGTGCTCATTCGCCCTGTTTAGGCAGCAATCTTTACGCGTGGTGTTATCAAGTATCTGGCACGTCACTTGGACGTCTTCGTCATAACCTCGAAGCGCTTCTCTGTCTTTTCAAGCTCGAGAATGTGTCTCTCTTACGGGACGAGCGAGGTCTCGCTTTCTGAGTCTTCCCACTTATCGATGTCCCGGAGTCCGTGGAATTTGGTAGCCGACAATAACAAGCTGAGGAGAGGTAACTTCCTGGATACCAAGATGCTTTTTTTTTTTTACCCTAGCAACGTTTGCTAATACAAAATAGACAACGATTAATTATGTTCCGCGGTAGCTTAATGGTTACCTCGTGAGTTTAGACGTTGTATCGACAGATTGTTTTTGTCGCATGAGATTCTCCGCCCATGTATCGCAAAATCGAACAATCTATCATTGGGAGGAAATGTGATAGGGCGTCATTCCAGTGAGCTGGGTCTATTCATGGTAAGTTGGTAACTCTTGCCTACCTTGGTAGTGTCATGGTATTCACCTGTTGCAAGATTTGGGTTCGAGTCCCGATCAGAAGTTTCTATATCGTCGGAGACCTATCCTATTTTTCTCGGTCATTCCCAACCATATGGGCTAGAAAACTTGTGGACCCTGGATATTACTTCAGCCTTTCCAACTTTGGCGGAGAACGGAAGTCCTGAATCATCGTCACCCTGGATGATGGTCACGTTCCAACCAGCGACGACGATTCTGACGTACACGGTTTGCTTATGCTTGTCTGCCTGGTCTTTAAGTGCAGCGCTTATCACTGTTCCATCACTCTACCTTCGAGCTCGAGGAGGTGACAATCGGATCTTGTCATGCTCGAAGATGTACGGAGAGCAAAGTCAACTTTGTCTAGACATCAGAGCAATAGTAGGCTCACTTTTTGCGAGTCAAAGTCAAACTCTGATGTCCGATACGTTTTGTGCATGTCCCGTCAGGATCATGACCCTTGGCTGACCCGCAATCACCCAAAGGATGCCTCTCCCATCTAGTGTTACCTTGGGATTGATCATCATTTTAGCGGCAGTGTCCTGCTTGTTCTACTCGACGCTGATGGACAAACGGCGAGCGAGATTTCTGAGAGCACTGTGACATGACGCTGCTGACATACCGCGGGAAGGAAGTCGGGCGTACCAAACACTGTTTGGGACGAATTTAATGTGGTATGGCGCTATGGATGAGCTTTACAATCAACTTGCCATCGAGGTACACCCAAGATATGAAGAGTGGATTTTCGGCTCTAAGAAATGCTCGAGGTGTGCCTGTCTGTCCTTCCTTGACACGCAGCGTTTATTCATTTACCAAGTCTTTGCTTTACATCTCCTTGTCATCATCTCGGGCGTGGCGAGGCTTTTTCGGCTTCGAGGGTGTGCGGGACTTCGCCTCCGTTAGACAGGAGGGAAGCTGTCGCTTTCTACGAGTCTTTTTCACTTAACACTATACCCCGAACTTCGTTACCTTCGTGGCGAGAGGCTGATTACCAGAAAAACCGACACGCCTTTACGCTGTCGGTAGTACAGAACAGATGGGTGTTATGATATTTCATAGTAGCTTCTCTTCGTTCTCTGGTCATTTCAAAGATGTGTGACATTGACCGAAGAATTGTCTTACTTTCGTCTACTGTTGTGGTCTTATGGCATTAACCTCGCCAGGATCTAGGTTCGATTCCGATCAGAAAATATGTCCACTGGAGTGTTGTCGCTCATTTTTTTAATTAAGATTGTTTCTCGCGGCTCCCAACGACTGTCATTTCTGGGAGGATTTCGCCATTCAAATTGGAAATAGGGTTGACTTTGCCAAGTTGCTGGGACTATAAAATGCTTGGGTCGCGACCTCGTCTAACTTTAGACATTGGAGCGCTCACTTGCTGGAAATAAGACATGATTCAACTATCGATCTACCTCCGTCGGGAAATTATAAGCTGTCATCTCATTACGCGGTAACTTTGCAGTTATCCGAATCGATCAGAACTCTTTTTGGTTCCATCTTTCATGTCGGTTTTTGAAGTTCGATTCTCTGACGGCGCACCGCCATATCGAGGAAGAGATATGGTGGGCTCTTCTTTCCGTCATTCCAACGATGCGTGATCTTGGTTACAAGTTGGAAATTCTTGTGCCTCCTGGTAGTCTCATGGCATTTACCCGCTGCATGACTGGGTTCGAGTCCCCACCGGGAAATATTTGAATAGGAATTTATGCATTGCCATTGGTTGCATGCTATCGCAAGTAGGACGCTCTCTGTTCCTTGTTAGTACGGTGTGCTTCTCCGTGTTTTTCTCTTTGACCACTAGACTCTAGGATCCCTGATTACTGGTATGCTTTGCTCTATCGAGGCTGTGATACAGAACACATGGCTGTTATTATATTGCGTGGCAGCTTAGCGGCTATCTCGTGAGATTCCGTCGCAAATATGAGCGTGAGGCTCTTTTTGGCTCCCTGCCCTAGTTTGTTTGGTTTGAACACTTGTCTGCGTAAAGGGGGGGGGAGTATGTTCGTTGCTGGATCATCTCGAAGATGTGGGACGTTGACTTGCTTCGCTTTCGTGTCCTCTGGTAGTCTCATGACATGAACCTGGCCGCAGGATTTGGGTTCGAGTCCCTATCGGAAAATTAGTGGCCGGTAAACTTGAAGTAGATCTTGTTTTTGATTGCGATTATTTCTCGCCCCCCACTTGCACCACTTGTCATCCACGGAAAGATACCGCCGTTGTAAATAGAATTGACTTTACCAGGTCGTGAAATGCTTACTCAGGGTGTGCCGCCGGGTCATTTCAAAGATGTGTGACATTAACCCTGGCTTCGTTTTCGTATCCTTTCACACCGGGAATGCAGAAATTTGAGAGCGTCTGATTTACCTGTCTATATGTAAGATTTGGGGTGAAAAATGAGACTTATTGATACTGGTAGCGAAAGTAAAGGTCCAAGAAGGCCCTGAATTGTCCCCGGAAGGTAAGATATCGGATGTGAATCTAGTCTGCCGTAAACAAGTCCTGAAAACAAAGATTCAGGAATACTCTGAACTCGTGATGAAAGCCTCCGATTGGGGTAGAGTTTCAGCAGATGGTAAACCTAAAGTTCTCAGGCATCTGAAACGCATTCCTAGACTTTTAGTTCGCCTGCCGAGCTTCAGGCATGCTGAAACTAGGATTCTGGGCCGACCTATTTCTTCGGGACACCTCAAACCTTTAGTTTCGGCATTCCCTATCGCAGGTGCGGAAATAAGCATTCCGGACCAGATTTCAGTCGCATCTACTTTTATGGTACCCATCACACCGAGATAGGTACCCATATGGATGTTTTCGGCGTCGAATCAGTTCAGCAGGGAATGTTCAGTTTCGACTTGAGTAAAGCGGCCCTGTGATCCATTCTTTGTTTCTTCGATTTGCGACCCATTTCACAGCTTGCCAGAAGTTTTGGTGTTGGACGGGAATTTCTATTCACCTTCCGAAAACTTAGATTATGGGTATTGTAGTCAGGATGCCCTAAATTTCTAAATTCCCCGTGTCTTTGGTAGTCTCGTTGCATTGACCTCACCATGGATCTGGTTCGAGTCCCGATCAGAAACTTATGTCGACAAGGTTCATTTTTATATTACGATTATTTCTCCGTCCCATTCCCAAGTCATGCTATCATCCCTTTACCGATGATGATACTCAACCAACTCACGATGTCGGTAAAGTTGTTGTTTAGGCATGGTGGTGCGAAACGATACTTATATAGAGTGCAGGATAAATTGATCAATATTGTTCTCTGGTAGCTTAGCGGTATCACTGTCTAGTGGGAGTCGGGTTTGAGTCCCGACCAGAGATTTAGCCTGGTTGTGTATTCTTTTTTGAGTGAGACCGACGTTTTTGTGGGTCCTATCCTCTCTACCGCTGTCAGGAGGTTGTGCCATAAATTTAGCTTTGGACTTCAAAGAAGACCGCTGTGCACACATCCTGTCTCATGGGATCATTTACCTTTCCGATCACCGTTTTCTAGCCTCGACCACAACGCGAGGCTGGACAGTGACTTCACGCTCAGGATTTTCCTGATTTTTTACACAAATTTCTGGACGCAACTTATTATCTTCTGCGACCTAGTGAAAGGCCCTACGTCACGTTGGTTGTAGCAAGGTGCGTGCGTTCATTTGCTCTCGTCGACTATCATACAAAGCTTCTGCAGTACCTTCTTGCCAGTGTCGTGGGCGAAGCCCGCTCCAACCTACAATATTCAATCCTGGCGCAGGTCGTAGACCAGCATGGTGAGCCTCCCCGGTGCCTGTATCCTTGTGAGTCCCGAAGATGCAATAGATGGATTATCATCTCTATCACCGTAACATCGTCACTACCCTTTCTTGGGAAACTATATACGCACCGCTTGACCAAACATGATGGTAACGGTGCCTGGTCCATCGCGCAGTATCATGCCACCAGTCATGATCATCCTGTTGAGACTCGGTTTTCACGGCTTTAATGTCACATTCTATTTATATATATATTTACTGCTTACCTTATACTTTGACATTTTCGTACCTATCGACTTGACTCGGATACGCCTCCTTCTGAATCATCAGCACCTAAATTCCAACACATCTTCAATGCCCTCCCCAGGGATAATGACGCACCAGTCTTCATTAACGGTTCCGCGGCATTGGTGCTATACTGCGCTGAGGTCCGTTAGCTCTTGGTCGATCAGATCATCCCAACTTCGTCAGTAACAGTTACCTCGAAGACGACAAGCAAAGAGTAAAGGACACCTGCTACACCTGATACGCTGCCTATCATGCGTCAGATTTTCTTGATACCATCAGATAGCAACGACATCAGGAGTGATCCCTTCGGTAAATGCTGTTCGGGGCTACAGAAGTACTATTTTCTTTCCCGGTCTTCGCTTTTGAGATTTAATAACAGCTTTTTAGACACTTCTTGAGGATATCAAACAGGCATGGTATCAAACGATACTTCAAGCGGAAGGCTATGCGCAAAAAAAAAAAACGAATGAGAGAGTCGCGGGATTCTATTGGTGCTATGAAGCGAGAATTCTTGTACGTTCTGTTCCTCTCACCCCCTTCTAAATTACTTTCACTTTCGGACGTACTGTAGGCACGGGTAACTGCCGAAAGATCGCGAATCCATGTCCACAATCCCATCATAGTTACCACTGGCTTTCCGTCGGGACAATGACCGAGCGCCCCCCGCCCCCCGCCCCCCCATTCGAGGAGATGAGCTCGTGGGGAGACGGTCAGGACTACTGGCGCAAGTGCTGCACAAAGTAGATGCCCGCCTTAGTGAAGGCGCATGGTACCCTCCCAACGTCATTTTCCCTGCCCGGACGAAGGCAGTACAGCTGTTTGGGGGCGAGTGGTTTCGTGGTATGTGCTGTATCATATTATCTGATTCTCTAAATTCAGAGTGACGTTGCTTCAGGATATTTGGAAAGGCCAGATGGGCGAGATGCTCATTTGCACATGAAAGTGTTATGTATATTCGTTCCCGTTCCTTTATCCCCATTGTCAATGAGTTATCAAGGTATCCATCCTTCTTTGATTTTTCTTCATCATGATCGATATCAATATTATTTGCTGATGCGCGGGACCAGCCTGAGAATTTCTGCCCCGAAGCCTTGGTATGGAGGAACGTGAAGCATCCTGATGTCCTACCATTATTCCTCGGCGTGAGTGCCTTCTGCCTCATCTCGCCCTGGATGCAAAATGGGAATTATCACGAGCTTTCTAGCTGCGAATCCGGTTTGGTGAGGCGATTCCTCTTTTTCTCTGAGCCGTACGTTCGTCTCTGACCCTTCTTGGTGTGTAGATCGATCAAGGAAGTGGCGAGTGGGATGGCATACCTTCACTCATTGGACCCTGCCGATATCCCATGGCGTACGTTCTCCACTTTAGGCACTCGGCCGAGTTTCTGAGAGATATCTCTGTAGGCCAATATGCTGGTGACCGATGACTACAACAGGTGCTGCCACCTAGCCGACTTTGGGGTTAGGACTCGTTGTGGGAAACGCCGGCTCCCGGGAGCTCGGAGCTCTGCACTAGCGCTGAGCGGGATCCGTTCGGCGGCTCGCTCCCGCTCCCGCTCTCGAAGCACTCGACATCCGACTATTCGACCCCCAACCCAAGTACACTACCGCGAGAGACATCTATGCGTTTGGGTGTGCGGTTATCGAGGTGAATCCTACCTGTACCCTCCTCCCCCCCCAATTAACCCACCCAACGTGAAATAAAAAACCAGATATATTCGGGGAAACCCCGCCTTTTTTCGCATATTCGGATGGATGTGGCGATTATACATGAGGTTCTGACGGGTGTGTGTGTACGGGGAAGACGAAGCCTGGGGATCGGATAGGGGAAGGTTATGGATAGGTGTTTGGTTCTGAGAGCATGAGATAGGTTGGGTGCTTGAGGATGCTTGAGTAGATGTGATGATCTTGTTTCTTACCATTGCTAACATAAGTTCATCATTCAGATTCTGGTTTCTGGTTAACAACCCTACGATTCATACAAGTTCCTTTCGGCAGATCTCCCCCCCCCCCCTTCCTTCCTTCCTTACGAGTTGATAGCGTTGGTCATGAACTCGGCCTCGGTCTGGTTGGTGGTGGGGTTAATGGAGAGCGTCATGCCCAGGCGGCAATGAGCCCCGCCGGCTTGCATGCATGAGACCCAGTGAGGTTCGGTGTCGAGGATCGTGGTGGTGAAGGTGGTTCCGGGGCTGGTGACAGAGTCGACGCTGAGGTGGGCATTGAGCCGACAGCCGGCATTGCATAAAAAGAAAGAAAGAAAGGCGACGTACAATCCGCTGTCGAACGCGTTGGGTCCTACTCCGCCGGGAGGAGGAGGGCAGGGAGACGTGAAGGTCGTCGTCGTCGCCGAATCTGCCTCCCATACTGGCGTAAACACGAGGCAGGTAAGGGGGGGGGGAGGGATACGTACGGTTCCTGGTGAGGTAGGTGAACGTGACAGTGTCCCCGATGGCGGGGAAGATCTCGTTCGGAGTGAACGTGAACGTGTTCGCAAGGCCGACTTGGACGACCCAGTCCTCGCCTATGACGAAGGGCGACGCGGAGATGAAGATGAGAGCGGGAGAGACGATTGAGAGAAGACGCATTGTTGTTTGTTTGAGCCTGGGGTTGTTCGTTGCGTTCTGCGTGCTGCTTAAATACCCTGGAGAGAGTCGCCGTTACCAGTACAATGGGTCGCTATCCTGGAAAAATTAGACACGATAGACGCGTCACTCTCAATTAACAGTGAGCGTGTTTCGATGGGCTTCGTGAGTAGCGACCCCACCCACGTGCTCAACGGAATATTTCTCTGTGAAGAAATTCAAGGGAATGGGCCTGTCGGGTTCCTGGTTACAGGTCCCCCCGGTGGTGGGAGTCACCCGCGAAAAAATGCCTCGTGTACCGGGGGGGGGGGGGGTTCATAGGTATGACAAAGATGTGCACTTTGTGCGCTTTTGTGATGCTGATCCTCTGTCCATAGCTGGTGAAAGCCAACCCTAATGGTTAAACGTCGGTTCCGAGAGTTGATAATGCGCATTCTTGATTGTAAAAAAAAACAACAACAACAAAAATTTCGACGGGGAAGGGGGAAGGGGATTTGTGTGCTTTGCGCTGTTTATCTCGAAGTGGGTGGGTGAGAAACTTCACAGCGATATTGGAATTAAGGTCTCCTGAGGTGCGGATCCTTGGAGGCCATGAGCGTATTTTCCACAGGACAGTGAGAAATTGGCGTGACCTAAACGACATGTGAAAGACCTCGGGATGGGAGAGACACATATAATCGTGTCGGAGATACTTGAGGACGCGGGAGAAAGCATTAGGCAGCGTGTGCGTTCCAGATATCATAAATCACCCGAGAGGGAGGCACACATTAAAATGCAGGGGTCCATTAGAAAACACTATCAATGAGGAGTTGTAAGAAAGGGAAAGGGAAAGGGAGAGAAGAGGAACGTGTAACAAATAGCTCACCGCAACTGCGTGCGTGGCCAGTCACCACCGTAAAAAAGCTCCGGTCTATGGCCTAGGATTCGTCCTCTCGATTTCGGCCGCCCGAGAAGGAGTGGGAACGACAGGATGCTCGCTCCTACAGCCGAACGAACGCTTTCGCCCAGTTGTGCCCCCATGATCAATTGCGAACCTTCGGCCTTGGGAGGGATGAGAGCTTGGCGTCCGTCCACCCACCCACCAATGTATTAGTAGTAGTTGGGGTCATTCATACTTTCCCGCCAGTTATCGATTTTCGTGGAGGAAGCGAGACAAATGATGGATTTGTGGTATAACACTGGTTGAGGAGTGGGTTCAACTAACCATGGACGTTGTTAATCAGAGCTAGCGAAAGTAAGAGCAAAGCGACGACGACGTACCATGAAGATATCCCGACTTGCAAACATTTTTCCATAACTGGGTGTGTATTTCCATTTAGTAGTGCGCTTGGAAAGAATGAGTATATTTCAGTGCGAAAGTGGCCAAGCGGTTGGTTCTTCGTATCCAGAGAGAAGTGGCATGGACTCGGTATGAACCCAGAGATGATCCGATCCATGCATCGACGAAGAATGCGGGGATGTGCGCTGCGAGAGAACAACGCACGATGAGCATAAAACGGAAGTGTGTCAGCAATGCCTGAATCCTCTCCGCTTGTTAGGAGCGTAACTGTAAAAAAAAAAAAAAAGCAGAGACATGCTGCTGAGCTCGATGTTACAATCGTGTGCGCATACACGCAGTGGCTGTACCCCATCCATATGCAGCATGCAGCTCATGTCGACCTGCCTTTTTGCCTCAAGCTTCTTCCCTTCTCAGTGCGGTTGTAGTGACAGGGGGGAATATTTCTTCGGTTCTTGTTCGGCTCTGCGAATTAAGGAGACTGTGTTGCCATCGCCGCTCGATATGTCGTATCGCGGAACCCGGTGATGTTTCGGGCGCTATGAACAGTCAGTTCCGCCTAAACGTGGCCACCGGATTACCCCGACACACTTGCGAAAGCCGAGCTCCTACGCTTTAAGAAACTCGTCTCGCTTTTGCGGCCCATTGGCAGCGATAATTGTAGTAACCGCTACCCCAGATGCGGCCCTTGAATCGGATGACGGATGACGTCGCAGGAAGGAAGGCGTACATCCTTACGATCGATGATTAGGGGTATCGGGTATCTTATTATCATGATCGTGCCTCGACATTATTTAACCTACCTAACTCAATCAATATGTGAGTCTACATTTCCCATCTTTAACTTTCGCATCTTCTTCTTCTTCTTCTTATCAGTTCTCGAAAATAGGTCGGTCGGGAAGGCCGATTTTGCCAATCCCCTAACCAAGACCGCTAGCCGTCCAGAGGGATAGCAAGTAATTCTTTCTTTCTTCCGGGGACCCAAAAAAAAAACAACTCGATGCTTTATCCCATAACTCTCCGGCTGGGTGTCGAACCCAACCCAACCCTCTCGCATATGATGATGACCACTACCCCAGCAGAGAGCACCTACAATAGCGGCATGGAATGACATACTTGAGGCCTGCTGGCCAAAGCACATGAATAAAACTCGACTCTCTCTCTCTCTCTACCAAAGTGTGCTCCTGTGCTGAAATCATGATAATTGGCGATGTTGCTGTTTTGCTTCCGCGGAGCCAAACATTATCTATCTCCGTATTCGCGAGTCCTAGGTTCAGTTAATAATCAAATTCTTACCCCCATTACTATTACATGTAGATCAGGTCCGCAATCCCTGAAAAAAAAAAAAATCATCATTGCTAAAACGCAGGTGTCTCTATAAATACACAATACAGAGGGCCAGGCATACGTCGAGTGGGTAGGTATACAGAGCTCCGGGGGAGGGGGGGAGGGGGGGAAGGGGTACTTAATATGCGTGAGGGGGTTACGAGATAACGAGATAATAAGAACGGAAAAAGGGTAGCACTAAAATCCTGTTTCACCTTCAAACAGCATGTTCGTAAAACTCTCCTCGACAAACGGCTCCCGGTTGATTTTCTCCAAAAACTCATCCCACATCCTCGGGTCCAGCTCTGGCGTCGTCGGAGACAAAGGCCGATGCGTAGGCATCTGCGCCCATGCCGCACGCCGAGCAGGGTCAATGGGGGTTCCTTTTCCGATTCGCGTGCACAGCGAGGGTGTCGGTGGGGGTGTGCTCTCCGCAAAACCGTACTGGGCCACGAGTTCCGGGAGCGTTATGGAGGCTAGGCGGGGCGGCGGGAGGGGGAGGAGCTGCTGGGGAGGGTCGAGAGCCGAGGTCGGCGGGGAAGGCAGCGCAAACGTGATGAGAGGTGGTTCGTCCTCAGAGTCCGACTCCGAGTCGAGTTCCCAGTCAAATATCTCCTCTGTTAGGTAGTCTTCTTCCTCCCGCGGTGTGTGGTGCCGTCGCGCATCTTGGCTGACAAGGTCTCGGATAATGCCCGGCGAGTATTGGTGTGTACTGGTTCCTTGTCAGCGACAGACAGCGAGCATGGGCGGATAAGACACTCACATGTGGTCCACTCTTCGCCGGCACGCAAACCGCCAGATATCCAGCTCTGTCTTTTTGCGTGAGTGAGGGATAAGCCAGTCGTCATCGTCGTCGTCGTCGTCGTCATCGTCGTCCGACTCGGAGTCATATTCAGCGTCAGCTTCGACGTCCATTTCGTCGTCGTCTTTCTTTTCGAATGTGATCGCAGTGTGGTAGCTGCGTGCGAAGGGTTTCTCGATAATGAATTGGATGGGAGGCAGAGTGGAGGTGAGGGTGGAGGTGGTCGTGGTGGTCGTCGGTGCCGAGGCCGGGGCCGTGGGAGTGGGTTCGAGCATCATCTTGGACGTCGACGCCGCTGGCTGCTCTCTGTCAACGTCGACCACAATGGGCTGGGACTTCTCGCTAGCCGACGCCGGCGGTGACGTTGGAGGTGGAGCATCGCTCTCCCGACTCTTTCTCCGCTTCGGTGCCGGCTGCTGAAGGCACTGGTCGTCATCTGCAACATCATCAAGGACCTTCTTCCTTTTCCCCGCTGTCCCTCCCACGTCCACCTGTACCTGTAGCTGCTGCCTCTTGAGGAACCTCAACGCCCTAGGCGACTGCTTCACCGGCCCTTTGTTCACTGGCTGCAAAAGGCGAGCACTCCTCCGTGGCTCGCAGAGCGGCGCGAAAACCGACATCGACATGCCTTCCTATCGAATTCGGTAACCTAGCACGGAGGCAAATAGACGGATTCGGTTTTTTCGCTGGATGAGGAAAAAGACAAACTGGAACGACTGAATCAAAAGAAGGGAAGCGATGGTTGGCTGCCGACACGTGCTGATGACTAAGTCGCGGCGTCATCTTATTCCCGGGTGGCTTGGATCCGGCCGTTGCCTAGATGACGCACGCACGCAATAATTGCGCAGCACCCCACCCTTCACCGACTCGGACTGCTCAGCGGAGGTTAAAGGTTATACAGGGAGGAAACTGTATTCTAATTTCTATCTCATCACAGGAAATCCTTATCATCAATCCAACATCAGCAACAAAAAGAGAAAAGGGGACTAGCGCACATATGAGTCCTGATCGATTGATCCATGATAAATCTGTCCTCTGTATTCGGATGTAACCATCCGTGACGCCAACTCTCTTCCGAGTCAAATCCCGCGGCATCTCGACTATCCGCTGTTTGATCGACGTCGAGGGAAGTCAAAACCGGGTTTAAAGTTGATGTCCCCCTGCAACTCACATATCCCCCATCACTCTCCTGCAAGGTCGCGAGTGAGAGGATGAATTCGTGGGTCTCGCCTTCTACATCATGCATCAGTGCTCCTTACCTTCCACCTATCACAAAGTTGTACTCTCTTCACCCCCTCGGGTACAAGAAGATTGAGCACGAGTCATAAGCGAGGTGGAATGCAACCCAATCCCACAGATCAGCACCGTGTAGCTACTGGATTGTATCCCTTCCTAGTGATCATACACGACACAATCGCATTTGGGCTCTCCAACGTGCAGGGGGGGGGCCTCATTTTGGCTAACCACGGGTGCTCCATACTAAGCTCGAGACGATTAGACCTTCCTAATTCGATTCTTCTTCATGGCGCGGGGGTTAAAACTAAATATAGGAGAACCTATACAAGGTCCCAGTGCCCACCGGAAGTTTTCTTGTACGAGATGCATACATGAGGTGTCCTTCCCCTAAAAACCTTCTTGAAGATAAGAAAGCGCGCGTACATTCTAGTTTACGTGTCACGGCCATCATGCCCTGATCTGCAGCAGCACCGCGTATACGACATATTCAACATATCAGATAGCCGCCGAATTGGATTACCCGTTATTTATACACACCTCGCCAACATCTGATTCCCCCAAGCGGATAAACCGAAACTCCCCCCCTCAAGGAGGGGAGGAATAAATCAGCCGATAGGAATAGGAAGAGTCTGAAGCATCCTCAAAAATGGCAGTCATGAAGTGAAAACGAAACACCAGCTTGTTCATGCAACATATCCCTAGAAACAAATGAACACAAGGAAAAGGAACAAACAAAAAGGCTTATCATGTCAGGGTATTAATCCTTGAGCTTACAAATATTATCCCGAGAACTGAGATCCAGAATTGCACAGACAAGCAAAGCACATTGGTTCACAAGAGATCCACAATTTTAAGATGGACTCATTGTCCTATGACTCTGATCCAAATATTAGCATCACCAGCAATGTGAGGTCCTAGTGCAGGAAGGTTCGACTCAGAGACATGATGATGCTAATCAATCAAAGAGCTAATTGCCTGGTGTGTCCTTCTCAGATGTTGAAAGCCAGAATATACATCCTCTGGCATCATCATCTGAATCCACTCAAAAGTGCATCATCACTCCAGTGATTCCACTGTCCAGAAGTAACAGTTTGTGATGGTGAGGAAAAGGGCCACAATTGAGAAGAATTTTCCAGAGCTTGTGAAAGAGTATTAGAGACAAACACTGTGATGTTGGTGTTGATGATGAGTCAGTCATGTAGCCATGATTCAGCTACAAATGTTGTTATGCAAGAATAATTGTGATAATGTTATAATAGAAAATGACAAATTGTGATCATGCTCTGGTAGGTGATTGGTTAGTATGCATCTGTTGTGTGAGTTATGTCATACAGAATCTGGGTTTGACTCCCAGCCAAAGGATAGTATAATTGTCTACTTTTTTTTTCTTCTCATGTTCCAAGCAGAACCAGTGCTCATGACTCAAGTACTCAGACTTGTAACAGACAGGCTCAAGAGAATATACTAGTCTTTATGTGGATTTTTTCCCCCTCATACTAATATGCATGCAATTGTAAGGAGTGTGGTTTAGTGAGTTCTTTTGATGTACTCTTATATCACTGTCATTGCTAATATCACCATCTAAAGTGTGCTTGCAATTGCCTTGAGGGAAAAAAAATACAAGATATCTACATGGATATGAAGATGGCCTATAAATTCTATGACAGCTATTAAGATATGTATCTATACACTCAATTGCAAGAGAGTTTGTGGAGGAGACTTTGCAGAAAAGGACAGGCTATGATAGTGAGAGGAGAATTGAGTGGTGGATGTATTGTGGATGCATCAGTGGGTTGGGATTCTGGAACATATAGTGCATGTGACTGGTATTTTCACATTTGAGGTCTTTCTGATATTATGATAAAGACATTGCTTGGATTTTCATAGATCCAGGACTCATCAACATTATATGTGCAGCATGCAAGAAGAAAACTGAAGATCCTCTACTTGAATCTATACCAGCTGTGTATCCAGCAATGGATGTAGCTGAGGCATTGAAAAATGCAGATCATCTGAGATGCTTCTTTGAGTACTCTCTCTCTTATTTTTTTCAATATATCCAGTATTTCATCTTTTAGTAAAAGCTTGACTTAAACAAAATAGTCATTTCAGCAAAATGAAGATTGCACTGTTTTCTGCCAGGCTATGACAGAATGCCCCACAATATTCTCAACAGCACTGTGAACCACTTTATCACCATCTAGTCAGCATAATGAATTGGCTCACTATTTCCAGCCAGTCCTGCATCTCTTTCATACACTCCTGCTTTTTGTTTTATGACCAGTGCACAGAAAGATATGACTTAGTGGACCAATAAATGCCTTTCTTGCATATGCATGACCATATACAATTTCATCTCATGGCAGTAAGCCATCAGGGCTGTATGATTTAGTGAACATCAAACAGGGCTCTGAGAGCTATAGGAGATGATGTATCTTCTCTCCTATTTCTGCACCATGGCTTAGTGCTGCTGAACACAGAGAGTTGGTTTCTCAAGTCACTTATCTGGCCAGCAAGATGCATATATAGAGATTGAGGGCAGACAGACAAGAGCTTCATTATGAGTGCATTTCTTCTGCTCACTCATATTACTCCTCCATTATGAAATCATCATTTTTCAGCTCTACAATTTTAGATGTCCATATTGAGGCTATCACACTTGTTATTCTAGCAGTCCACTTTTCCTCTGAATGACACTCATCCTAAAAAGTGCTCTACTGAGCTTATAATGAGAGAGAGTGGAAAAGCAGGGAGAATGGTGGCCAAATCTGACATCTAAATAAGAATAGTGATTCTTATATATAGCTGAAGGATTACTCTTGGAGATACCATATTATCTTTCATGTAACTGCATACCTCTTTCTTTCTGACTGTTTACAAAGAAAGGCCAGAGAATTTGTCATGGTGCATTATTGATAATATGATGATGTCATGCAATGATGAAATGAGATGGTAGTAGTCTCCATCTGACATGTTTCTTCTTTTCTTCTCAAGCTAAAGGCAGAAAGACATGTCTCAGCTCAGAGTACTAAGACCTAGAATCTGATGAGTACTGTTAGTGAGTTGTTTGCTATAAGCTGTTTTTCTCTCTCCTCTTCTCATAGCTTCTCCACTGCACTGCTTAATGCATAACTGCCTCAGTTTTCTTTTCTGAATATATGAGTTTTTCACTAAATCTGTTCTTGAACTCATATCTCAGAGTAAAGATCCTGATCCTGCACTAAGAGAGAATCATTTCATTAAAATTATAATATATACTATAGTTTAGCATGAGATATTATTGATGACTTCTTACTCTTTGATGGTATATTAGTAATTTACTGAGCTATGGGTTTGACTCTCAGCTAAAGAGATATAGTCTCAGTCATTCACTGTTTTCTATTCATACAATTCACTCCATTTCAATTGCATTGTGAAAGCTTGTGAGTTTTCTCATGTTACCCTGAAGGTTTATAGTTCTATAGCATAAAGTAAAGAAACAGTTTCAATTGTAAAGCTGAGGAATTTTTTTTTTGGTGTAAATCTGATGCACTTTGAGCCTCTGATCCTATGACTGTCTCTGATCAAGCTATTGTCTCAGTGCCTCAAATCAAGCCAAGACAGCTGTGTTATGCTTCTATCAAATGCTCACAAATGCTTGGCACTGCTTCTGCCAGAGTCTGATCCTGGATTCTGGATCTGTTGTCAGTATAAGAGTATGATGAGAATAATAAGATAAGCAATAAGAATTTCATGGAGAGGAATAAAGGGTCATAGCTGATAGAGATAGTCTGCTATGATGGATAAGAGTATTCACACCAGATAGTCAGAGAGTTTAGTAGGTGTATTAAACTTTAGCTTGAGATTAGAGTATATCAGGGTGTACTCACTGCCTTAAATACTGTTTAAAGAGCCCTATGCTCTACAGGCCACTATTGTCTGGTTTCCATGCTTCCTACTTATTGTTTGAGGTGACAATGACTGTGCTCTTGCTTTTGTTTATTATTGTCACTCTGCTATTCCATTGCTATGGTGAGTTTCCTGTATGCCACAGTTTCTATTGTGATAAGAGCATAGAACAACAACTATTATCATGTTGTTTTCAGCCAGCTATTATGTGCTGATGAGTAAGGTGTAGTTATAGTGTTATCATGACATTGTCATTCTTGTGAAGTCAGGCTAGGGTCAGGATTGGTAAGCATCAGCTTACTAAGCATTGGCAGGTCATGATTTAAAGGCTAAAATTGTGACACTTAAAAACTGCATTTTAGCATGAGTTTCTTGTTGTGGTCTGGCAGAGCTGGTTATATAGAGTCATGCATCCACTGGAGCTTCAGTTGACTCCAGTTTAGTCTATACTAGTGAAGAGATTGGTTGCATATGCAAGATAAAAACTGATATAGCAGAGAACTATTCACCGATCACACCCACACTAACACACACACAATACTCTTAGTTCATTAGAGGATTATAATATAATAAGAGTAGTAAATGGCAAATACAATTGTATCTTCAATAATCCACTGTGCACAGTCAGTAATATCACATGTATATCACCAGAATCTCTCTAAGTCTCAA